AGATCAGGACAGGAGTCTAACACTCTAAGCTGTCTCCCCCATGCCAGGGCTGTGCTGCCTCTGCTGGCTTCTGATCTTAGCATCCTCATCTTCCCCGTCTTGCAGGTTATTTAGCAGGAGAGAGCTGAATTCAGACATCTCTGTGAGCAGCTTCCTCTAGGGATTACTGAAAGTATTTGTTGAAAGCACACAGCCATACTCAGCTGTACCCCCACACAATACCACAGTGAGGCTCTATGAACAGCCTCCGTTCCAGCAGTGACCTGGCTGGACACCAGCGCGTCTTGGTCTAGGGACCAGAGACAACTTCAAAACCCCCAGTAAGCTGAGCCCTTCATTAGTGCATACTGGCTTTTTGGATCATAACGAAGGCGTTCCAGTAAGCATCCTAGAAAATCTGGCCTCTGAGTAGTGGCAAACTCACCAAAAAATTACTACAGAAACAAGTCTCCCACATATACACATAGCAAGTGTGGAAGACATTGCACCACGGGCATCTCTCCTGCATCTGGACACTGCTGTAGTCTGGAGGACCTTGCACTGTGGACATCTCTCCTGCATCTGCATGCTGCAATTTTTCTCTGATCAATATGTATATGTTCAATTGGCAGGCTGAGACGAGAGAATTGCTTGAGATGAGTTCAAGACTAGCTTGGGCAACTTAATGAGACTGCAGTAAAAATAAGTGTCAGCACTGCCCAACATCACAAGGCTAGGTGGGCAGCACAGCAAGGTAAATCAATAAATAGATATTGTCTATATAGACATTCATTTCTTTACAGGGTAAGCCTGTGCCCCATCTCAAAGTGATTTAAACACAAGAAAGAAGTGCCTGTCCCCTATTGCCATCGTTACTTTTTCCACCATCATGACAAAACACCCTGATAAAATTAACTTAAGGGAGGGTTTATTTCGTTCCACAGTTTGAGGATACATACAGTCCATGATGGTGGGAAAGACAAGGAGGCAGGAGCCTGAGGCAGCTGGTCACACTTTGCACATAGGCAGGTGACTACTAGTGTTCAGCTCGGTCTTCCCCTACTCAATCAACCAGATCAAGATAATGCTTCACAGGCATGGCCAGATGCTAACCTAATTAAGTAATCCCTCCCAAGGGTGCCCAGAGGCTTATGGCCTAGGCGACGCCTGAGCCTAACCAGTTGACCATTAACACTGACATCATGTCTATCATTTTCTGTAAATCTTAAGAAGTTTGGAAGATGTGTTGCCATGAGAGTATAGAGTAGACCCCAACTTTGACCGGCTGGCAGAGTTTTGTCCTTTGGCTGTGGCTCTGCCTTGTGATGTGACCTGGGCAGTCACTCTCCTCTTTGACTCTTTGTCAATAGGAATAATAATAGCCAGGTAGTAGTTTGGGGATATAACTAAGTGAACTCATGTCCAGAATGGTGCCATGAGGCCCTGATATAATTCAGAATCCTCCATCTCCATGCTGGTCTGTCTTATCCAGACTATAATTTCACCTGCCTTCTGCCTTTTAGCGCCTCCTGGCATGAGTGTGCATTTAGAGAATATGGTAGTCCAGGAGCTGGCTCCGCCTAGGACAGTCCAGATACATGTATATTTGATTTGGTAACCAGCAAAGGACAGTACAAAGGGGCAGTCGACTCTTTGATATGCTGATAGCTGAGGGGCCTTTCAGTTTATTTTTTTTCCTCTCCCATTCCCAACCCCTACCAGATGCATGCTGGGAAGCCCCATAACAATGTAGTCTGTGAGAGCGATGCTTCCATGCACCCACAGTCCCTCTGCCAGGTCATTAATAGCATTAATTGGAGGTAGTGCTTGGTTGATCTTGGAACATGGGGTTGACAGTGGCATTGTTGACAAAGGCACTTTAGGTAAAATTTCCAACTGCAGGCTTTGTTCTTACTGTATCAAAAGTGCAACCATCTGGGACAGTGAGGTGAGAGAAGAAAACACCCAAGATGTTTTAGAACTAAATCCTGCCTTGGGTCTGATGAGAAATGCAGAATTTGTGGGATTTTTTTTTTTGAATAATGTTTATTCGATTTGGAATGCCGCTGTGGCTGGAGTAAGTGGTTTAGAAATGATTCGAAGTGGCTTTTACCAGAGTACAACTGTATTTAAAGTGTGTTTAAACTAGATGTTTGCTTTGTTCTTGAGGGCTTTGTATAACAGGCCACGTGAATCTAAAGTCATACCCATCAGATAAATCTCTGCGTGTGGGAGAAAGAAAAGCAGGAGCTGCGATGACCTGTGGGGTTGGCTTCTGTGCGTGGTTCAGCACTCACAAAAGTTCCTACATCCTCATATCGATGTGTAATAAGCCCCATTGTTAAATAGGAACTATTTTCTAAAGTGAATATGAAAGGCCTTCTTACATAATGAATCAAAGTCATCTCAAAATTAACTTTAAAAAGAAATTTGAACTTTTTGAACATTTTTTTGTTGTTGTTCTTGCTTAAGGGGGAAAAAATAGAGGGAAACACCAATAGTCCCTGGAACAACACATTTTTAGCATCAGAGCTTTATAAAACTCAGTAAGCAAAACACAGCGTTTTGAGTTCTTTCCAGTCTAGTTCCTATCTGCGTGTGTTTTCAAAAGATAGATGTAGGGGCTGGAGGCAGAGCTTGGTGGGAGAGTAGGTGTACATGGGAAGTCTTGGGTTCTGTTTCCAATAGGGTAGGTAACTGTGCTGTGTGTACTACTCGTACCCTTCCCCACTTCAGATATGGCTTTTCCTACGCATTATTTAAAAGCTTTGCTGAGCAGCATGTCACAGAAACACTTGGACCAAGGCTGTCTCTGCTAGCCATACTGCTGTTACCTTGAACAGGTGAGCCAGAGGCCTTGCCATTATGGAGAAACTGACACACCCAGCCCCTTCTGAGTGCCCATGTCTCCAAAGATACTAAAACTTGTTTTGATTTTGCTTTTTGTTGGTTCCTGCAGACAAGGTATTCCTCTATATTCCAGGCGTGCCTCAAACTCAAGGTCATCCTCCTGACTCTGCCTTCTGAGACTACAAGTGAGTCTCCATGGCTGAGTTGATACTAAGACTTTCATCTCTCTACATACAATGCTCAGCAATCTGATAGTCAGGTGCCTGGAAAACATTCTTTTGAAGAAACAAAAACAAATTTAAAAGGAAATGAGCTGATACTCTTTGGAAACCAATAGCAGTTCAAGTCCAGATTTTGTTCTGTTTTGAAAGAGAGAAGGGAGGTCCCTGAAACCCTCCTTGAATCTAGTACCCAGGGTCCTTGGGACGGCAACTCTATGTGAGCCTGGAAGCCCCAGCTGAGCCTGTTTCCACACACACCCTTAAAACAAACCCCACTGCTTGAAACAGCCTGAAGGATGCCTACTTCCCACAGCTAGGATGCTCAGGGACACAGGAACCCCTCAGGGGGCTGAAGAAGAAGCTCTTTGTGGACACACTGAAAAGCCCTGAGGAGAAATGAAAACACGAGGCGCCATGCATAATTTCCCCCAAAGACTTCCAGATCTCCTTTGAGGAGATTAGTTAAGCTCTGGACAGCTTCCCAAGGAGGATGCCAAAGATAGCAAACTTCTCTGACAGAGATGAAGCTCACCAAGACCCCTGGCTCTCTCCATCTGTGATGTAAAAGTCCTCAACTGCCCCCCCCCCTGTGCTTCCAACTTCACAAATATTTTTCTTTACTTTGTAGAAAGTTTGACATATGGAGAAATGTATATCTCTATATGTTAAACTAATTAATCGTCTTTTCCAAAGGCTTCATAAGGCATGAGAGCTGCACGTTGAGTTCTATGTTCAAAGGTCCTTTCATGCTATCTAAGTTTAGCTAGAATCATAAAGGCAAGACACTGGGGATTACATTACATCAAACCTGGTACATTAAGTGGGGAGGGGAGGGAGAGAACCTTACACTTTCCAGTTCTAACCTGGGCTGTACTGATTCCAACTCCATCGGTTTAATAACAAGTAGTAACAGATGAGCTTTCCAGCTAAAACAAACAGTTGAGCAGGACAGGGTTCTTGAGTTTTAATAGTCAAGAGGACATGTCATGTGTAGATGCGCAAAGAGGATCCATCAGTATCTGCTATATGGTAGATTCTTACAGTCTGTGGTCTGTTTTGTTGTTTTTGCCTTTCTGTCACTTCAAATGAAGAATACAAAGTAATGTATTTTCGTAAAGGAAGTAAGAATATGCACTGCAGAGGTCCCATAGCCCTCCCAGACCTTATCAAATGATGCAGACATTTGCAATTTGTTTGGAAGGAAGTTTTGTTACAGAAAGAGGCAAGAGGGCAGACACCATGGATTGGAAAGTTAACGGAGCAACGATCCAAGCAACAGTGTGCCAACAGATGCCAGGCGCAATATGCACCTAGCTTTTCCTGTGTCCTGAAGCCCAGCTGGGACAGCAGACCCTGCCTCACCCCTGGCTGGCTGACCCCATCCCTTGCCTGTGGTGTTTGTTAGCCAGCTTTGCTTAGCATTAAGACAGTGAGCAGCTACCATGCAGGCTGAGAACACAATAAACCCTCTTGTTTCCAAGGGGGAAGGAAAAAAACCTAATGGTCAAAAAGACTAATGTTAACACAAAGACTCAAGTGTCTCTTGGACTGCTGCCCCCACCCCGGATGAGGGCAATGAGTCCTCTCTCCTCACTGCTTTGATAGGTGAGAAAACAAAAGAATGCATGAACAGAAGTGCAGGGATATATTATGGAGGGCAAGGGTGTCCCAGAGGCAACTTCGAAAGGCAGAAACCCCTGTGTGATCCTATCAGGGACTGAGTGTTATATCTGGGGATTGGCACCTTGGACAGCCCAGGGGAGCCAGGTCTCTGGGAGGAAGGGTGCAAAGGAACAGGGCACAGCAATGCAATGTGACTGTTTCCCCTGGGGATGCAAATCAAAGGTCACTGTTGACTGAGGCTTTCTGTTCTACCAGGGTCTTGATTAGAGCACACACTAGGAGACAGGTTTTTTTTAAAGGCCTGCTGCCACTTGGCACATCACTCACAGTGTGGTTCATAGGGAGGAGGTGGGTCTCCGCAGGGCACACACTCCATGTCTTGAAAACCAACAAGTTTGGTCTTCCGGTAAAATCTAGAATAGGAAAGAGAGACTCCTGGTTATTGGTGTCATCTAAGATCACTGTTGCAGCCAAGCATCACATCATCGGTCACCAGCAACCTCTAGAACCAGCTCTTGGTGAAGACAGAGGCACCCAAAGGCTGAGCAGATGGTGGACACTTCACAGATTTGGTTCCTTACGTAAAATTTCCCAACTAGGGTGAGATACTGGAGATGGAATAGAAGCCAGTGGGCTCTGGCAATTATGTTGTAACCTAAATCACAAACACCTTTTAAATAAAGTATTAGATTTAGCATTTGAAATTTCGGAGCCCAGATGTAGCATATATATTTTCCTTAGAAATGTTTGTAGGGATGTTACATAATAAATATTAATTGTGGTTGCTTCTAGATGGTAGGAATTCAAGTCATTCAAGACTCTATCAATAAATTAATAAACTTATTTAAAATAAAATGTAAAGCATCAACAACATAGCTAACGAGCAACATCAAGTTCAAAATTATTATTACTCTACTGCCTGTAAATTAAACCATAAGGACAAACCTAAATCCATTACTGTGAAAGTGATGCTACAACTGGGAAAAAAAGATAAAGAATTTGTTCTCTGGACACCATTATTCATAATTAAACCAAAGTCTTCATGCAATTAAATTTTTTGTTTTGTTTTCTTGAGACAGGGTTTCTCTATGTAGTCCTAGCTGTCCTGGAACTTTCTCTGTAGACTAGGCTGGACTCAAACTCAGAGATGCGTCTGCCTCTGCCTCCTGAGTGCAGGGGTTAAAGACATGCACCACATGACCCAACTAAAATTGGCTTTAAATGCTTAAACTCCTAAATAATCAAATGAATGCAAATAGATGTGGAAATATATCATTTTTTTTATTTGGAAAGTAGGACAAAGGTTAGTGCATACACACAAATACACGGGAGGGGGCGGTGATGATGACGGACAAGAAAGAGGCCCTGGTACCATACCTAAAACCAAATAAAAGCGAAAACACAAAGAGAAACAAAAAGGAAACAACAAAAAAAAAAAAAAAAACGAGAAAAAAAAAAAAAAAAAAAAAAAAAAAAAAAAAAAAAAAAAAAAAAAAAAAAAAAAACCAAGTTTTAAAGCTTACTTTAAATGTATTCAGATATTAATGCCCTATCTTTAAAACTCTAAACTCTTGGCACTTGATTGGTAATTTAGTGATTACCCTGTGCGTTAGAGTCTGACCTTATGTTTGCTGTGTATTGTGAGCAGGTTGGTACTTCTGGAAACTTTACAGCAGTTTGAAAAGGTCTTAGCTGAGCATGCTATGTGGTGGCATACCTGTAAACCCAGGAGGACTGAGATCAGCTGGAGCTATGCAGGGAAACCCCTCAAAACAAAACAGGACTCCCAAACTCTTAGATTCTATCCATAAGCCACCAAGTGAAACAGCCGCCAACCAAGCTCTGGACATTTCTAACTGCCTAATAGCGCTGGTGGCTCCGCTAGCCCTGTCTGTGAACTGTGTCCGAGCACCCCCTTCCTGGCTAGTGCTTCACTCAGTATTTAGTGATCATTCAAACATGGCAGGACTTCTTCACCTCCAGCCTCAGTCGCTGTAGGTTCCTAATGGACATGAGTGTGTAGATATTGCTTCAGGACTCTGCTTTAAATTCTGTCATACACATTCAGAGGTGGATTGCTGGTCATATGGTAGTTCTATTAGTATCTTAGAGATGGCTACTCTGCTTCCCCAGTGGCCACACAGTCCCCCAGTCCTGACTCCCCCAGCACCCTTATTTCCTTAGTTCTGTTTTGTTTCGTAGTAGCCATCTTAAAGAGCACGAAGTGACAAATCAGTGTGATTTGATTGGCAGCTCCCTGATGACTGGTGATGTGAACATCTTCTCATAGTCTTGTTTGCTGGATTGCAGATCATCTTTGTAACAATGCTGTTTGACTCCTTTGCCCATTTATTAGATCCGGTTATTTAATATTTGTTGTTGTTGAGTCATAGAAGGTTTTTTATATATATTTGGAAATTAATCTCTTATCAGAAAGTTGTAATCAGTGAAAATTTTTAGTTTAGTTTTGTTTTGTTTTTTGCTTTTGTACCCCTGTGTGCATGTGTGTGAAGGAGGCCAGAGGTGAACCTTGAGCTAGACAATTAGGCTGAACTGACTAAACAGTGAGCCTCAGGACCCACCCCCCAGCACTAGGGTTATAAGCATGTGCCACTACTCCTGACTTCTTTTGTTTTTTTAACACAGGTTCTGGGGCTCAAACTCAGGGCCTTACTTAAAGACAAGGACTTCACCAACTGAGGCATCTTCCCAGCCCATTACGTAGAGGTGTTGCGTTTCATCCCACGGGCTATCTGCTAACTGTTGATTCGTGGATTATATGGTGGCTCTATTTCATTGCACAAGAGATCTTCAGTGTGATGTGTCATCTTCACTTTTGGTGTCTGTGCTCTGGTGTCTGCTCACAATCTTTCTCCAAATCCAGTGCCATGAAGTTTTCCCTGTGTTTTCTTCTTGTATTTCTGTAATGTTAGGTCTCTTTCTTGGGTCTTTAAATCCATTCGAGGTTGCATTTTGTGCAGGGAGTAAGCTAAGTGTCCAGATTCACTGCTTTTTTGTGGGTATATCATTTTCTCAATTCTACTCTTGGCACCAGTGTCAAAACTCCATATATTCTAGACCCCCCCTTTGTATTCCTTCGGCCTGTTTAATCTGCCTTTGTGCCAATACACCCTTTTGATTATTGTAGCTTTGTGATACACTTCAAAAAGAGGGAGTGTGAGTTCTCAAATTTGCTCTTCTTAAATTTTATGTGCTCTTAAATGAGTAATTTTATTAAAATCTGATCTGGTAGCCAAACTTCAGGAGTACTTTTAAGATACTGCAGAATAGGCAGTGGTTGGAGCACGCCTAAATTTAATCCCAGCACTTGGGAGGCAGAGGCAGGCAGATCTCTGTGAATTCAAGGCCAGTATCTAAGCATCTGCTTAAAGAATGAATTAACACTGGGGCTTCAGTTTATCCCTGATCCTCAGATGAGGAGACAAGACACACACAGACATGTTTCCATCACAGAATTGTGGGTCATAGGCTACGGAGGCATGTTAGATGCTCCAGGCATGTTTTTTAAATTAGGCTTGCATAAGATTAAAACTCTGTGAATAGCTGGGCATGCTGGTGCATACCTGTCATCTAGTATGGGGAGAGAGGCAGGAGAATGGGGAGTTCACGGTTACCCTAAGCTACACTGCAAGATCCTGTCTCAAAGTAACGCAAAAGAACACTCCCCATAGTACTGCTACCCACACTCATTACTTGGAGTTTTGAAACTATGGTACTTTTTGTTAGTTCAATTTTTAAATAACAGATTTGATGAGGTATAATTCACATACCATACAAGTCACCCACTGAAAGGGTTGCATGTCGGTGGTGTTATTATTGTCATGGAGTTGGGTAACTCTCTACAATTCATGTTAGAACACTTTGTCATCCCTGGAACAAACCTACTAACCATTACCATCACCACCCCCATCCTTCATGTGCTCCCAGCCCTCAGCCCACAGCCTTTGTTGGTTTTCCATTATTATGGATTTTATGTTCTGGGCATGTGACTAAGGTAACCAGCAGGTGTGCAGCCTTTTAGGACAATCCTCTTTCATTGAACACAGTATTTCCCAGGTTCATGTATGTTCGCCAGTGTCAGTTGTCCTTCCTTTTTATTGCTGAGTAATATTTCATTGTTCAGATCTACCCTATGTTGCTTATTCACTCATCAGTTGATGGTTATTTGGATTTGTCAGAAGTCCTTCTAGTGTGCTGTAAGAGAACACCGTAGACTGGTCACTTATAAAAAAAAAACAAGTCATTTCTCATGGTGCTGGAAGTGCGATGCCCAGGGTCCAGGTGGCAGAGTCAGAGGCCATGAGAGGCAAGCTTCTTGCTGTATCTTCATGAAGGAAGTAGCACCGTGTCCTTACATGGCAGAAGGCAGAAGGGCAAGAAAGGGACATAATTCCCAGCTAGTGTCCTTAGTCAGCTCAGGAGACAGAAGGTGTTAGGACCCAGTTACGGCTTTGAGGTCTAAGGCTAACCCGTCACACAGCAACACCAGAATTCTGGAGGGGACCAACTCAATCCATAGCAGGGTTATCCAGCTTTCTGGCTATTATGTGTAATAACAAAATCAGTATATCGGATTTTTGAATGCACAACATTTTTCAAATCTCTTGATTATATATGCTCAAGCATAGAGCTGTTGAGTCTATGGTATCTGTGTATTGAACTTTTGGGGGAAATGTCAGCTTGTTCCCTAATGTGGCCACCCACTTGACATCTCCACTGATCATATAGGAAGGTTCCCACTTCCCTACAACCTACAAACACGCATAACTGCCCATCTTTTCATCTATGGCAACTCTAGTAGGTATGAGCGGGTGTGGTTCAGACCTGCGGCTCCCCATAGGCAAGCAGCTTTTCTGCACAATTGCCACGTGCTTGTATTACTGGTGAGCATCTATTCCAAGCCTTTATTCTTATTTTAAATTGTCTTTTTGAATTATTGAGTTGCAGGAATTCTTCATGGACTCTTCATGAGAATACAGTGAGTCAGGCAGCTCCTCCTGCAGAGTCCCAGAACCTAAGGGGCTGTGAAAATAGCAGTCTAAAACCAAACACACACATGAAAAAAAAAAATCTGTATGTCTTATTTCTTTGAAACTAAAACACTTTTGTGCCTCTAAGACACCATCCAAAAAGTGAAGGCAGTCACAGGACAGGTTGAAATGTTGGTAAGTTCCACATGTGACAAGAGACGTGCTTACCTAGACACATGTGGACATAGTATGCACATCAAAGATTTCATGGAAGGCTGTCTCCATTCACACCTCTGTCTCTTCTACTGTTATCCTATTCTACTCTTTTCTCCTCCTGGGACTCCCTGGGCCTCTCTGCAGAGGTGTGTGGGGGGAGTAGGAACTGAACATAGAGCTTTGTACACAGGCAAACACACTACCACTGAGCTACATCCTTAGCCCTGTCTCTTTTTAAAAAATACTGTAAGATGGTATTTTTCAAACATTTATTGGGGGGTGGGTGGCATGGCATGCATGCAAGAGGACAACTTTTGGGGAGTTAGTTTTCTCCTTCCACTAGGAGGGTCCTAGGGTTCAAACACAGGTCAGCAGGCTTACTTACCTGTTGAATGATTCTGCTGACCCAGATTAAGCAAAAAAAAAAAAAAAAAAAAAAAAAAAAAAAAAAAAAAAAAACTAGTACGATGCAAGCTCCACATGGTCAGGAATCTCTGCTACCTTTTCCTCTGACCTATTCCAGGGACTGAGGGAATGCCCATAGCTGCAGTTCATGGGGCTCCTTCTTTGGAGCACTCCTGTCAATCCCTTTCTGTCCATTTGTCTAAGTGCTGCTTCTGTTCACTAGCTTGTAGGAGCTCTACATTTTCAGGGCACATCCCTTTGTAAGTGTGACTGCTCCTCTGCATTGTCACAAGTGCCTGGAACAGAGTCAGCTCAGCGGCTGTAGAAGGAATGAGACAGGCGTTCCAGATGTTGCCCAAACATCAAGTTCTTATCCCTGTGCATTGAAGTTTGGGGGGAACAGGAAATGCCTTGGGAAACATTTATTTAAATAGCAGGAGAAACAGCCCAACTCACCCGGGCAAGCAGTCCCCACAGACAGCGTCACTGGTGTGTGAGCAGTTGGCCCTCTGAAAGCGATTCACTAAGGCACAGTCCACACATGGCTTGCACTTCTGGAAGCCCCAGTCCTCCTTGAACCTGTGCGGCCTGCAGGGCACACACTGTGCATCCTCTCCATAGCCGAAGCCACATTCCTGTAGGGATTAGTGGGTAAAAGACAGCTATTCATACTTTGCAAGCTTGAAAAAGGAAAAGCTGCTGGGATAAAGAAGACCCACTGAGGCCCGCCTTTCCAGGGACAAAGGCAGCCCTTTTAGCAAGTTCAAATGTGTCTTCCCTGGCTAATAATCTCTCTTGTGGCCTGCCCAAGTATCCTTAGCCATCCACTTTATTTCAGAGGCGGTGAGCATGTGCATAAGAAAAGGTCTCCCGGATTCCCACTGGGGCATTAGGGCAGAATTATGGCACTTTCTTCTCCCCTAATTAAGCCAGCCATGTGACTGCTCAGCAGCTGAAGCCAGTGGGAAGTTCAGACACTTGTTCACTCATCAAGGCAGAAACTGAGCACATCACTATTAGCGGTGCAACTTCAGAAGATAAAGGCAGCTGTGTGAGAGCCTTCACAAGCTTTAAAACACTGACCAACTGAACATTTTCTGTGACCACAAGGGTTGTTATCTATCTGTTCAAAGAGAGCTAAAGTGGTACTAAGGGTCACAAGTTAGAGCCTGGACTGTGGCTCAGAAGGAGAGAGCCCACCTAGCATACAGGATGCCCTGGGTTCAATCCTTAGTGCTGCCAAGGAAAGGAAACACCTAATGGCCTTGAACCTCGGGTGTGATGCACATTGGAACACTGCACTGGTTTTACCGGGATGAACAAAGTAAAAGACTCTTTGGCACTCGGATGATAACTTTTACAGGTTCAAGAGCAAAATAAGCTATGGCAATCACATGATGTGTGTAATGCAGCATAAAAGCCAGGTTTTAGTTGTGCACTCATGACTAGTTGTTCAATACATGAAGCTGATGTCTCAGCTGGTCTTCAGTACACATCAGAACCCTGAAGAAGTAGGCTCTAAAGCCAATGAAAGAATAGACTGCCAGCAAGAGCAAAAACAAGCAAAGAGCAAAAGCTTCCTTCTTCCGTGTCATTATATGGGCTGCCAGCAGAAGGCATGGCCCAGATTAAAAGTGTGTCTTCCCATTTCAAAAGATCTGGATTAGAAGTGGGTCTTCCCATTTCAAATTATCTAATAAGAAAAAAAATCCTTCACAGTTGTAACCAGTCTCTTGGGTTTTTGTTAATTCCAGATGTAGTCAAGTTGACAACCAAGAATAGCCACCCCAGGTCCACCCCTTGTCAGCTTGACACACAATCTTATCTCCTTATGACCTGCATAATTTCCAAATGAAAACAATAATCAGGTCATAATTATACCTAACATAATATAACTATCCCACGTACAATCACAAACACAGTCTATATTTAATCAGGTCACAATTACACCTAATATGATGTAACTGTCCTTCATAAACCATAAACACATAATAAATTTTAGAATAAATGGAAATGTCCCTTGAGGGGCATTCTTTTGGTATCTCAAAACTTAAATATGGTAACCACTGATGTTCTCTTAATTGATGTTGTATTACTTGATAAAGGAAAGAAAACGCAAGTATCTATATGAACACATTCTTAACAAAATATGACAGAAATATTCAGGTCAATTATAATCATTATTTCTGGAAGTGGTCATGTGGCCTTAACTGGTATTTATAACTGCTTTCCTCTACTACCCATTCTGTATTTCCTCCACCATCAGCAAGTACCACAGGAGGTCTTGGTTCTTTTCCCAGAAGAGTGACCCAGACCTTCATTCCTGATGGGTTTGTGCCCTTTGTCATCCTGATTGGATCAGTTGTTGTAAATTTCCCATTGGCTTTTAATCACAGGACACAGTAGCACCAAGAGACACCCTAAAGGATCTCCTGCACTTCAGATATAATCTTCTTACCTCCACTGTAGAGAAGCAATACAATTTGCACCTGGTAATCTGAATCCATCACCTCTCCTAACAATGTTATTCATTTCTTAGCCTGTTGGTTTAAGGGCAACAGAAGCCCAACATAGCCTGGGGGAGTCTGAGCTTCCAGTTCAATGGGATGTTTGTTGTGCCTACTTGCAGAAGAGTTCCCTCCTCTGGAACCAAAACTTCTAAGCCAGCAGAATTTAAGATTGTGGGAACATGAAGCACTTTCCTGGTGGGTCACGGGGGTGATAGTGAGTGGAACTATTCCCTTTTCTACGGCTTGATTCCTGAACCCGTGGATCCTGGCTGTGAGAGAAACCATATCATGTATTAGACACTGATCCAAAGTATATACCCCCCTGGAGGAGCCTGCCCCAGCCCTCCAGGATGGTGCCACCTAATTGGCATTATAAGTGTGTCTTCAAAAGGCTATCCCATCTTTCTATCAGGCTGGCTGCTTCAGAATAGTGGAGAACATGGTAAGACCAGTGGATTCTATGATCATGGGCCCACTATCATGCTTCTCTGGCTGTGAAGTGAGTTCCTTGGTCAGAAGCAATACTGTGTGGAACACCATGACAGTAGGTAAGACATTCTGTAAGTCCACATATGGTAGTTTTTGCAGAAGCATTACACTCAGGAAAGGCAAATCCATAACCACAATAAGTATCTACTTCAGTAAGGGCAGCATTGTTCTTTCCACCAAGAAAGGGGTCCAATGTAATCAACCTGCCACCAGGTCGCTGGCTGGTCACCCTGGGGAATGGTGCCATATCTGCGGCTCAGTGTTGGTCTCTGCTATTGGTAGATCTGGCACTCAGCAGCAGCTGTAGCCAGGTCAGCTTTGGTGAGTGGAAGTCCATGTTATTGAGCCCATGCCAAACCCCCATCTCTGCCATTATGGCCACTTGTTCATGGGCCCACTGGGCAATGACAGGAATGGCTGAAAGAGGCAGACTATCCACAGAACAGGTCACCTTACTACTTGATTACTGAACTCCTCTTCTGCTGAAGTCACCTTTTGAACATGGAACACAAGGATCTTCACATCCTTTGCCCATTTGGAGAGATCTATCCACATACTTCTTCCCCAGATGTCTCTCAGCAATTTTCCAATCATGCTTTTTCCAAGTCACTGATGATCCAGCCAATCCATTGACTACAGCTGAATGTACACCCATTAACCAGAGAGCAATCACACATCTGCCATTTTCCCTTCCAAATTGTATGACCATGTGTACTGTCCAAAGCTCTGCCCACTGTGAAGATTTCCCTTTGCCAGTGTCTTTCAGGGTTGCCTGTAGACAGAAGTTTTTGTTCTGCCTGGTCTCACAGCTGTTCAGTCCCAGATAAACACATCAGAGGCTTCTAATAATTACAAACTTCTTATTGGCTAGCTCTCTCTTAATTATTAACCCATTTCTATTAATCTATGTATTGCCATGAAGCTGTGGGTTACCCATAATGCTCCAGCATGTTACTACATGGCTTCTCTCTGTCTCTCTTTCTCTATCTCTGTGTGTGTCTCTGTCTCTCTCTGTCTCTGTCTCCTCTCTCTCTCTCTCTCTCTCTCTCTCTTCATCT